CATCCAAGAGGCTTCATCAGCTCTGGCTAGTGGGGAGTTCCACAGACTTATATCCTTAAGGAGCCATTAACACCTGACTTTTGGTTCCAGTTGTGGGTTTGTTGCTCCTCCCCCTCGTTATGCATTATACTAACGACTCACATAACGAGGGGAAGGTGCAAAAGAAACTCACTTCAAGAAACTCAAGCAAGTTCAATTGCTACAATTAAACTGTGAGAATTTCCAATTCACCTGTCAGACTTATGAAACTTCTGACACTTGTGTCAAAATAGCACTCTGGCTCAGTCCTGATTGGTCGGAAGCCATAGTGACTGTATTGTCATGTTGCCCAACCTTCGCTGATTGGCTGGATCAAGTCATGTGATTCTGCCCCCAGCGAAAGTTACCAAATATGGTTCCTTGCCGGACAAAGGGTTAACTGAGCCAGTAAAACTGCAGGTATAGTTTGAAGTACGACTCAAACTCAACCCTATCGTCCCCTCCAGCCTTGAAAATGAAAACCTTTTTTTCCCCCTACATAAACGCAAAATTGTGGCTCCACTTGCAATTATAGGAAAAAAAGTTCTCTGCCTCACTAGAAAACATCACCAGAAAAAGACCCATTATTTTACAACACAGACTCCTTTAACTTCAGTGCACTTGGTCCACTGATGTTCAAGCTTCCATGTCCCTTCATGGAAGAAGGTCGCATCTTAAGCCTCCAGATGCTCCTCAACAGCGTGCATGACCTCATCATCAGAGCGCATCAGTTTGGGAAACAGACAGAAGTCAGACAGTGCAGGTTGGGTGAGTAAGGTTCATGCGGCGACAGTTCAAAGCCACATTTGGATGCTTCTACCACCCGATGCTCTGTTGACGGGCTTTCCGAAGCTTTCCTCGCACGGCAAAGAAATGACGACATACATTTGAGTTTCTGTGGACAGCATAAGACTTTAAAGTGTATAGTTAGGCCTCAAAATGGGAGTCATACCCCTTATTTCCATATGAGGTGGATTACTTTTTGCAGTACCCTCATAAATGAAGTGATAACGGAGCTCCATTACATAACACACCGACTGAGCCACTGCGGCGGTGGAGGAGGTCCCTACTGGCCCATATGTGAGATTACAGCCATTTAATGAGCTGTTGACATCCGAAACAGGTGTTTTAAGCAATGCAGGGTTTATTTTCACCAGCAGAACTTATAAATATGCAACTTTGACGCACAGAGATTGGATTTTAGGGGTTTAATCAGTTCCAGGAGACGGACTTTAAAAGAAGTCTTAGTCCCTTGTTGTAACATGACGATGCCTCATCCACTCAGCTTTCCAGTCTGACAGGTGAAAAATGGTGCGAGTTCAGAGCTCTTTCGATATCTGTGGGAGGCTGAGACGCCGGCTTTACCTCCAAACATCAGAATTTCAGCTTGTTGCTGGACTGGAGCGAATCCCTGCAGCCAGGTTCAGCATCTGCCATCTGAAACTAAAGAAACAGAAGCTGTGAGCGGCAGATGTTCATGTTGCGCCGTTGACCCAGTAAGCAAACCCAGGTTGTTTACAGGGTGATACGAAAGCTTCTTCCAGACATGTGACCTGGAGCATTGCTGGGTTGTAGTGACGGCATGCTGCTATTCAAACTCTTTCTACACATCGGTCACTAATCCGTTAGCATTCCTCATGGCTGCATTCACACTGACCACACATTCATTCCCGGAGATCACCACGACATGCACGTGACATTTGTCATTCAGTCAAAATAGTGCAAGAACAGACTAAATCTAAACTAACAGCAGCTGATCAAAGTGTCTAAATTACTAACAGCCCAGTTTTTCTCCCCAAGTATTAACTTTGACATCCTGTTTCTGACCTGAATTGACATTTGACAGCAGTAAAAATACCCTAAACGTATTTCTTTTAGCCTGAAATTTGATACCTTTTCCTAAAGTGACCCTCAAATTTCAAGGAACTTTGTTGTCATACCAGCTCACATTTACATGTTTGTGGTACGAAATTAGTACTCAGGTCCCAGTTTTTAAAAAGCCTAATAAATAATAAGTACAATGTAAAACAAGAGCAAAATATAAGTAAAAATACAAGCAATATAAGTGTAACTATAGTAAAAAAAAATATGAACATTTAAGTAGAAAAGCCCAAATTAGCTATGTTTAGCACTGAATATTTGTGTAAACAGCAAGTTAGACCATACATCCATTGAGATTGATTTCAGATCTACCAGCATGGGTCAAATCAAGGAAGACTTTGGTTTTAGGGAATCTTGAAACTGTCAGACTGTACAGGCCGTGTTTTATGTGTTCTTTTTGTTTACATTAATTCATTTAGACGTTCAGAATAGATCTGTAGTTTAAAATTTGGTGTAGACTCTTACTATGAGGGAACTCTTGACAGGAATCGACAGGACCATGCTATAAAATATAACAGCGTCTAAGGGTTTAACAGTGAGGACAACAAATCTTAAACTGCAGCTGGTAAACTGTGACTCTGTGTGGCAGCTCACCTGTCTGAGCTGAAGAAATGTTCTCAGCTGCTGTTAGAACCTGATCGGCTCTTTCTTAAGAGGAAAACATCGTGGGGGATCCACTAAAGCACTGTGCAGAGTGATCCACATACAGCCGATACCAACGCTGTTTTTTTTAAGATCTGGCTGCCGTTATTTTATGAAGACGGGTTGCCAACCCAGGCTAACTTTTGGCAGTTTTCCCCCATCAGCCTTGGCTATCAGTGACTTGTTTAACATGAACACCTAATTGCAGGTGTTGCTGACTTGTCTATGCCAGCAGCTAATGTGCAATTAAGGAAATCTGTGTTCTAACTTGTTGACTCTAACTTGTTGACATTGCTGTGCTTCCACTGTCTGCATCTGAGTAACTGACCTCCTGTTTCATATTTACACCAGCAGCTGCGTGTCCAGTGCGTGTGAACGGTCATGTGATACCTTAAACCTTAAAATGCTGTTTTAAAATGAAAACGTGTAGGTGTTGCCTGAGGTTACACATTCAGCCACTGAGGGTCAATAGAGCACCAACAGAACACCAGGCTAACTGTGTTCAACACCAGTGAGGCTGCTGTGATCCAGGGGTGGTGTTATTTATGTATTATTACCAGATCAAAACATGCTGCTGGTCCTGCTATATCAACCCAAGACTGGTTGAATTATTACACAGTGACCTTGATTCCGATTCAAGATAACTGACAATATCTTCTTTGACTGGTTGACATACAAACAAACAACTAGGTGGAGGAGTTGTAGTCAGCTGACTTTTCCAGTTAACGTTGAAATGTAGGCTGGCTTGTATTACACAACAGACCAGCCTCCTGTCCGGTGTTTCCTTTCACACCCCACAAAGCTCAGCATTTGACCTGAAGGTGTCACTGTGTTGGAAAACAGTGAGGACATAAAGGCTCAGATTTAAAAAACAAACAACAAAAACATCTTCAGCATTCAGATCATTCCATGTTTTTTTTGTTTTTTTTTAAGTGAGACATACTTTAATGATCAGCACTGTGTTGTAAAGTCACTGTCTTTTTATGTTCATGTTCTGTAAAATCCAGCAAACAAAATGCAGTGATCTTATAATGTTTGCAAACCTTCAGTTATTGTGGCTGTTCTGTTCATCTGATGTGTCGTTACATTCTGACTGTACAGTGTGGTCACATCTGTTGTGATGATGGAGAAAGTCTGCTGGAGAATTTGTCACAGTTAATAACTGGTGACCGCATGTTATTTATAATCAGTGGGCAAAGCTGGAAGTTTTTTAATTCTTGTCTTGCTTATGTATGGACTGTGTACTATTGTATTTTCAGTATTGAAATTGCTTTGCATGTTTGTTTGATTTTAATTGCACAAATTATTTTTTCTTAGTGTTCTCATTTATTAGGTAACATGTGTGTGTGTGTGTCTCTATGTATATGAGGTTAAATACATGGGGTTAAATCAGAGGTGTCATTTACACTACCAAACTATAGCTCATGTATATATTGGTTTTGATTTACAGATCAACCGATGATCTGATGATACCCGTATAAAAAATGTTTAAATCAGAAAATAGACAATATTTAAAATTTTTGGTTTAACCTCTTAATCACATCACATTTTGGGGTGATATTACCACAGTAGTTAGTTTTTTTATTTGTTTTTATTTTTCACTATATTATATATTATATTGTTACTATATATATATATATATATATATATATATATTATATATTTTTTTATATTTTCTTGAATATTTTTTATATATTTTTGAAATATATTTTTATTCTCTCTCTCTCTCTCTCTATATATATATATATATATATATAGATGCACATCAAACAAGACTTTGGGTCTTGAGAGGTCAAAAATGGAAAGAAATAAACACAGAATTTCCACTTTCTTACATTTGATTTTCAATGTCATTTGACGTTGAGAAAATTGAGAAACGTGCCTGTTTTCAAATTGTTTTGTTCTTTTTTTTCATTTGTTTGTGCTTGGTTTAAATGGTTCTCCAAGTGTCCATTAATACTTTTATATTAGACACTTGGACAAACCTGTTTCCTTGTTTTTTTCTTTTCATTGTTTGGTTGCTTCAGAATTTAGAAATTGACCCGTATTTTTTTTTTCACTGTGGGTTTTATTATGGAAACACACAAAAGGACTTGGCCTGTTTCCTCAGTGTTTTGTTTTTTGTATTTGACAGGTACATGAAGCACAGTGAAGTATTCTTCACTGTACTGATGTCATGTACTCTCCACAGTACATGACATCCATGATTTAACCCCAGAAATAACCCAGAAGTGTCTGTATGTTCCTGGCTGGTCCCCAGCAGTGATCCTGAGCTCCGTGCTGTCAACAGTCAGTGGGCATCTGCCTTCATCCTGCCTGGAGGCGTTTCCTGACTGGGACGCTGAGCCCGCCCTCCAGCCGCTCTGATTGGTCCGTTTGGGACGTAAATAAGAAATCCTACCTTCCTATTGGTCGGTGCGTCGCTGCCCCTCCACGAACACGACAACACGGTTCGGTCATATATGCAGCCGTCGGACGTTTGTGGTCTCAGAGACGAGAGACCACCGAGGAGCAAAACATGAAGTTCGTCAGATTTATCATGAAAAACGCGGCTCTGGCCAGCGTCCCCAAACACATCGAGCATTTCTCCAAATTCTCGCCGTCGCCGCTGTCCATGAAGCAGTTTCTGGATTTCGGTGAGTCGAAAAATAAGCGGACGGTTGGTTTATTATGTAACAGCAGCGACGTGGAGCTGGAAAGGTGATGAGAGATGATTGACTAACGCTTCATGTGTGTGTTAAAATGAATGAAAGCTGCTGCTGGGTGTACCTGCAGCAGCATGGGGCTGTGTGGGGAGTGTTGCATCAGCTCAGGCTGCTGTGTTTGGGCCCATGCAGCACACAGTACAGCTCATTCCTGCTTTAATAATGCCTGATCATGTCATAATCAAGATATATCTACAGATCGAGCCACTTTTAGGCCATTTGTGCAGAGAAATGCAGCAAAAATAGATGCTATCTGCAGTTTAAAGCTGTAAAAATAATGCAAATGTCAAGTTTATTATGCCTTTTATTACCATTATTGTTATTATTGTGAGGGCTGGAGCTAAGATATAAGTTTGTTTTTAATGATCAATAACACTGGAAGTTACATGTTACAGCAGCTGGATAGAAAAAGAGTTTAAAGCTTTGAAATAATGCACATGTCAAGTTTGTTTTGCCAGTTATTGTTATCATGAGGGCTGGAGCGAAGAGATAAGAAACAGAGATAAGAAAAAAGAAAAAGTTTTATTGATCTGACACACGTTACAGCAGCTAGATAGAAAAATGAGGCGTTACAAAAGTACAGCGATGACCTTGTGCAGAGAAATTTAGCAAAACTACATGTTATGTGCAGTTTAAAGCTTTAAAATAATACAAAGTTTATTACGCCTTTTGTTGCTGTTATTATTTCAAGGGCTAAGATATAAGTTTGTTTTTGATGATCTGTCACAGGAGGAAGTCACATGTCACAGCAGCTAGACAGAGAAATGAATCATTTGAGAAGTACAATAATAATCTTGTGCAGAGAAATTAACCAAAAGTAGATGTTATGTGCAATTAAATGCCAAAAATCAAGTTTAAAATGTTTTTTTATTGTTATTATTATGATGATGAGGGCTGGAGATGAAAGATGAGATAAACTTTGTTGATCCCTCATCGGGGAAATAACAGCAGCTGGACGTTACAAAGGTCCAAAAAGGCTTCAAATAAAGATATAATAACGACTTTATGCACCTTTCACATGACTCCGATTGTTGTTTTAATCTATTTTTCCGTTAAACGCGTCAGAAATGATAAGAATGCCCGACAGCCGCACTCTGTTTGTCGTCTCCACCCTGAAGCTAAAACCTCCGTCACCTGGTTTGACTTCGTTCCTCAAACCCTCCAGCAACGTTTACTTAACAAGCAAAAATGTCAACAGCTTTGACTCAAATCTGTCATTTTCGCCCCGATTCCTGCACTCCAGGTTCCATAAACGCCTGCGAGAAGACGTCCTTTGTGTTCCTGAGGCAGGAGCTCCCCGTCAGACTCTCCAACATCATGAAGGAGATCAACCTCCTGCCCGACAGGCTGCTCACAACCCCGTCGGTGCAGATGGTGCAGAGCTGGTGAGAGACAAAACACACCGTGACCTTAATTATTGATTAATGTGCTGCCGGTTATCTGACACCCCGGTTTTATTATCCTAAAACATTCAAAGTGCCTCCGTGGTATTTTGTGGCTCCATATTTGATGAGCAGACACATTCGATCCCAGCTGTGAACTTGTTTACTGCCGTTTGTGTCCCCGCTGCGCAGACGTCATGCTCTGAATTACAAAAGCAGCCTTTGACCAACTTGTACTCTCTCCAGCCGTGGATGTGGGAGGCGGCTCTCGGCTGTGAACTTTCCCCCAGTTCCTCGTCACAGCGTCACGTGACTCGAGCTTTCAAGATGTTTGTGCTGCCTGTGTGAGGCCTGGCGAGGAGGGAATTCATCCTGTGCTCGTGTGTGTTTGGTTTCAGGTACATCCAGAGTTTGATGGAGATCCTTGAATTCCTCGACACGAACCCCGATGACCACAGAGTGCTTGGAGAGTAAGTTTCAGATGGAAATTTGCTCCTAACTGCTGCTCAGTGGTCAGTTTATAGAGACACAGCGACCCTCATCCTCACATCTGTGTTGACTGCATGTTTGCATCACATTTCTAAGAAAACAAGCTGAACCCGATGAATTTTTAGATTTGAGACAGTGTCCAGATAACTTATTACCAACAAGAGCTGCAACAATTAATGCAGCTGTTAAATTAATCACCAACTACTCTGATAACCGGTTAATCAGTCATTTTTAGGAAAAAAAAAATTCAATGATTCCAGCTTCCTAAGTTTGAGTATTTAATGCAACCAATTAATTTAATAACTGACTAATCAGTCTGAGTCATTTTTAGCAAATAAAAAATTGAAATCATTTGATTCTAGCTTCCAAAATTGGAATATATTATCTGCATCTAATAAAATAATTAATTGCCATCTAATTTAATAACAGATGAATGAGTCACTTTGAGAGAAAAAAAATGTAAAATTATACGAGTTCGGCTTCCTCAATTTGAATATTTTCTGCAAGAAAGACATGAATTACAAAATAATCTGATAATAGATGAATCAGTTTAAGTTATTTTTAAAGAAAAAAGTCAAAATTATTTGATTCCTGCTTCTAAAATCTGAATATTTTCTGAAACTGATAAATTAATCACCAGCTATTATGATAATCAGTTAATCAATCAAAAATGAAATGATTCCAGCTTCTGAAATTTCAGTATTTAATGCAACCAGAAAAATAATTTCCAATTAATGTGAGAGCTGATAAATCCGTTGAGTCACTTTTAGAGAAAAAAATGTAAAATGATGCCATTTTAACTTCCTTAATTTGAATATTTTTGGCAAATAATAAATTAATCGCAAAATAATCTGATACTAGATGAATCAATTTGAGTTATTTTTAGAGAAAAAAAATCTAAATTATGGGATTCCAGCTTCTTAAAATTGAACATTGTCACATTTCTTTTCCTTCTTTATGACAGTAAACTGAACATCTTTACCATCTTGGACTTTGACAAACACTAACTGACATTTTTAGAGGACATTATGAATCAATCATTGGCTGCAGCCCGTTCGGTGTGACGTAACGGCACCCTGCCCTGACAGGTGGATCTGTTTGTGCGTTCCCTGCACAGGTTTGTCGACGCCTTGGTCACCATCAGAAACAGACACAACGACGTGGTGCCCACCATGGCCCAGGGCATCATCGAGTACAAAGAGGCCTTCCCCCAGGACGTGGTCACCAACCAGAACATCCAGTACTTCCTGGACCGCTTCTACCTGAGCCGCATCTCCATCCGGATGCTCATCAACCAGCACAGTGAGCAATAATCCATGTTCAGTCAGTCTGGTCTGTGGACTCATTGTTTGCTGCAGTATAAAGTCCTGCACCTCTAGAGAAACAGCCATGGCTGCAAGTGGAGAGAACCCAGAAAAGCCTTTTGTGCAGAATAACAAAGCTGCAATACCGTAAATTACATAAACAAAAACTGAATTTATTTGATTATTTATTTCACAAAATTTTTTTAAAAATAAACAAATGTTGGAATCAACATGTTTTATGATTTCCCAGTTGCACACAGGTGTTACCACCACTGGGAAAAAGCATCGTGAGCCCACATACTACTAACATGTGACCACTCATGCATTCATTTGTTTCCACACTTGCCCTCTCTGTGTTCTGTGGAAACACATCCTGCAGTTCAGCCGAGAAGAATTTTTGTCACATGACTGTTGACCACAGCTGAGTCACTCTTGGCTTTATAGTTTCCATCAGGAGTGCAGAATTTTTTATCTTTCACAGAATCTGATCAAAGCAAAAGGTTCATTTTTGGAGAATTTTTAACTGAATAAAGTGACGTTCATGAGCCATCGTGATTCTGGGTCTAGATTGGGGTTTATTTTCTGGAAGGAACAGAACACGACACTTAAAATGTGATGATTCGTTCTGTTTTTGTAAAAACTGTGAGCTCTGGTAAATGGTGGCATTTTGTTGTTTTTTGCTTTTATAGAAGGACACCTGCAGTTTTTAGGGTTAATGCAGCTCGAGGTGGCTTTGCTCGTCATTCACATTCCTCCTTTTTGGCCAATCTGCAGTTTGTTTTGCATCAACCCTCCACGGATTTAAAAACATCCGAGCTAGACTGATCGCACAACATCATCGTTTAAATGCAATTGCTCCTATCGGACGTGAACAGTCGCACCACCACGGACTGTTTTATTATCGTCAGTTGCAGAAATCGGAAATAATCCAGATTTCTATGTGGGAGGTTCTTGCTTGACACGAGATCCGCTGAAAAGGAAGATGATGTGCTGTGTGACATGTATTACAGATTTGGATTTAAACAGATGTAATTTAGTTTAGTTTTAATATCACAGTAGTTTTACTCACTTCTTGTAGATTTGGTGGTTGAAGCCTCCTGTTTTCATACATAAATAAATAAAACTATTCGTCTCTACATGAAAAATGCAGTTAATTATGGAAAAAAACATCAACCAAGCGAGTGTGACATGGCTCAGAACCAGTCATATACTTATTTTATTCTTCTTATAAAAAGTCGTGAAGAGGCTCAAACAGCTTCTTTTTATTGAATCCGTGCTGCTTAACGTTGTGTCGGTAGCTTGTTGATGTTTCATCAGCCACGTGGAACGAAGACAGTTGATGCATGTCGCTGATAACCGCTGCTGCGTGAAGTGAAACCGTGATTTGTGATTTATCTGAGCCGAGAGTTTGTCACACGTGCACAGCTTTCTGCATCTGGTAGCTCTGGAAGCTGCACGGTGGATGTTTCATGTTATTTTTCTTGTGTTATGGCTCAGCTATAACATACTTTTAACACTTTTTCACATTTTCTATGAAGACTGTTGAGTTTCAAACCGTGTATCACCGATATTTTGACAATCAGCCTGAGTTCTGAGCTAATTTGACGTGTTTTTGGTGCGTTACTCAGAGATTACACTGTGCTTTCTGTTCTTCTAAACCTGACTTTTTTTTTCCTTTTCTCTCCACAGCTCTTATTTTTGATGGAACCACCAACCCTGTTCACCCAAATACGATCGGAAGCATTGACCCTCACTGTCAGGTTGGAGACGTAGTCCAAGGTAAACGAACCTGAAGTCAGAGGAATTCAAATCAAGTTTAACATGTAAAGAATGTCTTCTCTTGACATTTTATTGTGTTTTCTCTACTTTTAATACATTTATTCTGCCTTTTAAGCCTTTAAGCTGCACAGATTTGTCCTAATGTAAATACGATCCCATTAGTTTTGAGTCATAATCATGATTTCTGACTTTATTTCCTCTCTTCTTTGTGTCAGATGCCTTCCACAGTGCCAAGATGCTGTGCGACCAGTACTACCTCCGCTCCCCCGATCTGCTGCTGCAGGAGAGGAACAGTAAGCTTACGTTTGTTTAAGTCTCTCAGGTTAACGGGGGAATGCAGGGTTTTTGAAATCTCTCACACTGTCCGTATTCACACAATCGCAATTTTTTAAAACGGCGATTTATTTCCAGATTTTTTTTTTTGCTTTTTTTTTCGGAATTTGGTTCATGCAGATGTTTTCTTTTTGGTTAACAAGTCATGTATAAAAATAGGATTTTGAGGAAATATCACGGTTTTAAGTTGAGATTTGTTTTTCTGACTGTCACATATGAGTAGTTCAAGGACTGTCAGAAAGTTGAAAATCAGTTGATTCTTTCTGCTTTTACAATTTATGGCTCTCATAAATAATGCAATTTTTAGCATTTAAATTAAAATTAAAAAGTAATTAATTTATATTTGTATATTATTTTATTTTACAGTAAAAAAAAATATAAAGAGAGATATATTTTTTATAAATATTTTATATATTTATTATTATTATTTATTATCAATTTAGTTAAATAGAATTTATATAATTTTTCTGGTGCGCTAAATAAATCCTTCTCACCACACATTTTATTTTAATCAATATTTTCCCTTTTTTTTTTTTTTTTTGTTGCATTCCTCAAAGATTCAAATTCGTCCTTTATTTTTCTCCAACAAACACCCCAAAGTGTAAAAGTCATTGTGATGCACTGGAAAGATTTTAAACACAAATGAATGGACCCCGAGTCTCCCGTGTGTACATACAGGCCGAGTGTTTGTATGTAAATGAAGCCAGATGGACCTGAGAGGCCTCTAATTACAGCAGTAACGGCTGCGCCATCCCGCCTCACTGCATCAGACAATATTGACACACGGGCCTTTTACCTCTTCATCCCCTCAAACTGTTAAAATAAAACCTGAACAGAAGAGAGCAGAATAATTGCCACTAATGAAAATCATCCACGAGTTGCCGGGGATAATGAATTGTAAATGAAGTGGAGGGAATTATTAAGATTTGTTTTTTTTTTCCTGCCTCCCTGCGCAGACAAGAAGACGAACCATCCAATCAGCATCGTGTACGTTCCCTCTCACCTCTACCACATGCTGTTCGAGCTCTTCAAGGTAGGAAGCCCTGCTGAGTTTAAGAATCCTAAAATGATTTGAAAGTGAGTTTTGTCTCATTGCGATGTTCCTCTTTTTTATTTTTTTTCTGCAGAACGCTATGAGGGCTACGATTGAGACTCACGAGAGCAGCAACAACCTGCCGCCCATCGAGGTCATGGTGTCTCTGGGAGGCGAGGACATGTCAATCAAGGTGAGAGGCTTCGAGGGGACGATTAATCTGAACGCAGAAATACGCAAAAATTACCCTTCAGGTCAAGTGAATTCTATTTATAGGGCTCAAAGGCTCAACACCTAGAAAAATCAAGCGTTGTTTTCCTCTGACTGATTCAGCACAGGTGGCACCCGGGGTTTTTCCTCTCGTAACGCCCTAATTTGCTAATCGCAGCAGGATTAGAGCTTCAAACCGGCCTGTAGGAGTGAGCAGGCGTGTAGGTGTAATTCTGTTTGTAAGCCCTGTGTGAACCAGTTTGTTGAACAAGCCTGTAACGATAAGACATCCTCCTGTAGTTAATCTTTCACAGCGCTGTCATTGCACCAGATCGGTTTGTTATGTAACGCATTAATTATACAGCCCCTGTTGCAACACGGTGTGCCCTCCACTGGAAAGCTAAACTTACCGCTCTTTTTCCCCCTTTTTTTTTTTTTTTGCTGCTCTTGTTTTCGTCACCTAAATCTTTCGCTGAACCTGTTATGCAACGGCGTCGCCCTCGATTAATCTGGCAGCTACTCAGCTCTGATAAGATTATCTGCGTTAGCTGTGCGCTTTCATACAGGCCGTAAACTTTATCAAACCAGGTCTTGTTGTTGTCACTCCCTCACCTGGATTCAGCAGGACACATACATAAACAGAACTGTACTGGTCTGGACGCTTGTTAAGCAAAATTTAAGGCTCAACCCGCTGAACGCCCAGCAGTTGATGGCTGTTTTTGCTGCTTTCAACTCATTTTTCTCTGCAATATAAAGTCCTGCACCTCTATGGAAGCAACACAACCATGACTGGAAAGAGAGAAAACTTTAAAAAGTGTCTTCTGTGCAGTATGACACCGTTATAATGCATTCATCATCAAAGAAAGACGAAAAAGCTGCATTTTTTGATTTGTTTTGCAAAAATTAGATTTTACTTTTAAAACCAATTATATCTGGTTTTGGTACATTCCCTTTTCCCTTCCCGGACGAGCCCCCACGTGTTACAACCCAGCTCGATGGAAAGGGAAAAGGGATTGTAACAAAACCAGAAATAATTGGTTTTAAAAGTAACAAGTATTTATTTACAACAGTAGGTGATACAGAAACTGAAGAAACAGGGCAAACAAAAGCTCTTATAACTAAAACCCTGCTGCCAAACAAAACAAAGGAAAAACCAAGCTAAACTGAATAACAAAAAGGGTTCAAAATCAAAGTATAACAAATCAGCACCTACTTTACTGAGAAGAAAAAAAAACAATCCCTACCAAGCCCTGTTCCAGAACAGTTTGGAGAAAAGAAAGTGCCTCCACACAACACAAACAAAAGCTCTATTGCAAAATCAGGCACTGGTGCGCTGTGTACAGCCACCCCGTCAATTAGGACTTTTCCCCTTAAATAGGCCGCTGTCATCTTCTTGGCGGGTCCTGATTGGAAGTCCCATGTGATTGGCCCGGCTCCGCCCATGTGGCCCGGCCCAATCCACCACCGGCAACGGCACACTAAAATCTTCACACACAAAAAAAAGGAAAAGACACAAAGAAGGAAGGAAGGGCCGGCAGCCGTAACAAGCCTGTTTGTCCAGGTGTTCACAGGTGTTACTAATACTGAATAAAATCACAACTCCGCATGCTGTACATACTTCCCTATTCATGTTTTTAATCTGTTTCCATAACCGTTCTGGGTAAACACTGCCTGCAGTTCAGTCAAACATTCACCAGCTGAGTTAACTGATCAGGAGCTCGTCGTTTTTAATCTTTTGCAGAGTCTAGTTCATGCAAACAGTTTATTTTTAGTGAGGTTTTAAATGAAACATGTAAACTAAAGTGATTTTGGAGAAAAGTTACGATTTTAAGCCAATCATCTTGAAGGACCGCTGATTATTTCTGCTTCAACAGTTTCAGTCTGATAAATGGTGTCACTCTGACATTAAAAAAAAAAAAAAAAATCTTCTTGGTTTTTGTTTTTTTTTACAGAATTTGGTTCGTCCATATTTTTGGCAGGCGTTTTAATGAGACGTAGAATAAATCAATTTTGATGGAATATCATGAATAGACTAGACTCGGTTGGTCTTTCTGATGGAACTGCACGTCACACATGAGTAGTTCAAGGACCACTGGGAAATTGAAGTTTCTTTCAGTTTTTACAGTTTGCAGCTCATAAATAATGCAACGTTGGCAGTTTTTTAATTTTTATTTTAAGTAATTCCTCCTCACCACACGTTTCTGTTCTGATAACGATCTCTTTATCTGCATTCCTCAAACATTCAAATTCTCTCTCGTCTCCACGTGACACTAGATTCTTCCCGTTATTAATTTCCTCATCGTCTCCCTCCAGCTGCCTTCGACCAAACACACACTTGACGTTGAAGCCGAGTGTTCCTGACAGGCAGCCACTCGTCTGCTGGCGTACAGACAATCATTCTCCGTCCTCTGTTTTGCAGGTGAGCGACAGGGGCGGCGGTGTCGCCTTCCGTAGGATCGAGAACCTCTTCAGCTACATGTACTCCACGGCTCCGGCTCCACAGATCGGCGAGCACACGAGGCCTCCGCTGGTGAGTCTGTCGGCACTAAAACATACAACCTGCTAATTGCACCGTGTGCTGTTCGGACGCGTTCCTGTGCAAGCATCAAAAAGTGCATTTGGCCTCTTTTATTTCGACTCTCGCAGCTATTTAAAGATTGAAGAAGAAGCGGCTGACCTACAACACGTTCCTTGTTTGTTGCGTAGCTGCTGCTGCCTTATTAAACCCCTCCTCTGTGTGCAGGCTGGCTTCGGCTACGGTCTGCCCATATCTCGACTCTACGCCAAGTACTTCCAGGGGGACCTGCAGCTCTACTCCATGGAGGGCTACGGCACCGACGCCGTCATCTACTTGAAGGTGAGCCAGACGTGGTGATTGTGCTTGGAGAAGGACGTGACGAGGCCCGCCAAGCGTTTGAAATGTCTGCAGCCGTTTGTTGCCTGCGGATCCGGGTGCAGGTGTTTGTAACGGCGTCTCTTCCCCTGCAGGCGCTGTCCACGGACTCCATCGAACGGCTGCCAGTGTACAACAAAACGGCTCTGAAGAACTACAAAGTGAGCCAGGAGGCTGACGACTGGTGCGTACCGAGCAAAGAACCGCTGGATCTGAGCAGCTTCAAGGTGGCCAAGTGAAAACATCCGACAGGCTTTCGGTGCTTCAAACCTCCAGTCTTCATCTTCCCACGAGCGCTTTCCCTCTTTAGCAGACAAAGTGCCGTCTTTTTCGAATCTTCAGCTGTAGCATGTTATCCTCTTTTTTTTTTAATGTTGCGGTTTTTCATTGGAAAATTAGACAAGTAGGGGAGGAAACAAACCTAGTGGGATACTTGTTACGATCACCTCTGAGACTTGGGTGAAGCAGCTCCGGTGTTTGCTGAGACGGCAGCATCGACGGGGAGTTTGCGGTGCAGCTAAGAGTCGTGAGCAGGTAGGAAGACAGAAATAAAAGCGGAGCGACGAAGAGTAACGGCGGATGATTCCAGTTTTAAGAGATTGCACGTGGAGTAGGAGCAGTTTTCTGAGGGACACATGGAGGTGTTCAGTTGTTATCATAGCGAATTCACCAAAAGACTCATTTTCAGTGAAATACTTGAACTATTTAATCCTCATGTCGCACCTTGTTGGATTTTCCTGTACTGTAAATGCTGTTGGGCTCCGTAGATTTGAACAAACTTTGAGTTGAGTGTATTTTTTTTATTTTTTGTGCATGGCTATTTTCACATTTCAGCCTTTTAAAGAAAAAGGAACGGCAGTATTCACACTGACTCCCAGCGTCAGTCTTCCTGGACCAGGCTGAATGTAACTCTCTCTTTTTTTTTCTTCTTCTGCATTAATTTGCATTGAAGAGTATTAGACGATAGATTGTGCTGCTTGATGGGGCCCAAAGCTGTCTCTGATGCGCCGCCGTCGGCCGCAGGTGTTTGCTTTCGGTTGTTAAAGCTCAGCGGTGATCCAGTGAGGCGAGGCCAGTCTCAGATGTGCCATAGGAGGATGAAAAACGCCCCCGGGGGTCCATTTCATGTGTTGAAAAATCAACAGGTTTTCTTTTTGTATTAAATTAATCTGAGTCATACAGTATGTATAAAGTTATTTTTATAGCTACACCTTTTGTGACTGATATTATTGTAAATACTGTAAATGCAATCAAGATGATAATAATAATAATGATAATAATAAAAAAAAAAAAGAACAATGATGCAAAATGTTCCTTTTGTGTTCTTTGATGCTCTGGAGCAACAGCTGAAACCTGAAGTTTACCTACACTGTGTAAAAAGACATAAAACCTTAATTACTATCTTCAAAGTCAGAAGTTTACAAACACTAAGATGCCTTTAAATTATCTGGGAAAGCCCAGATGATGATGTCATGGCTTTGGAAGCTTCTGATTGGTTAATTGACAACATCTGAGTTAATTGGAGGCACACCAGTGGATGTATTGTAAGGCACACCTCAAACACTCTGCTTCCTTTACTGACAACATGGAAAATCTAAAGACATCAGCCAAGATATCAGGATGAGAACTGTGGACCTCCACAAATCTGGTTCATCCTTCCAGATGGCTGAAGGTTCCACGTTCATCTGATCAAACAGTTATACACAAGTATAACCACCATGGAAATGTGCAGCCATCATAGCGCTCAGGAAGGAGACGGTTCTGTGTCCCTGAGATGAAGAGTTTTGGTTGAAATGTGTGAATCAACCTCAGAACAGAAGCTGAAGACTTTGTGAAGATGCTGCTGAAGCTGGTCAGAGAGTCATTATCCACAGTGGAACCAGTCCTGTACCGACATGGGCTGGAAGGCTGCTCAGAGAGGAAGAAGACATCACTCCAGAAGAAACACAAAAAAGCAAATTACAGTTTGCAAATGCACACAGAGACAAAGAGCTTCATTTCTGGAGGACATGTCCTGTGGTCTGATGGAACTAAACCTGAACTGTTCATTTGTTACATTTGGAGTTAAAAGGAGGAAGCTTGAAGCCTGAGAACACCATCCCAGCTGTGAAGCACGGGGGTGGCAGCATCATGCTGTAGAGGGACTGGTGACCTTCACAGAACAGATGGCATCATGAGGAAAGAACATTATGTGGAGATATTGAAGCAACATCTCAGGACATCAGGAAGTTAAAGCTTGATGACAATGACTCTCAGCATTGCGCCAGATTAGCTACAGAGAGGCTTCAGGATGTCAAAGTCAGTGTTGTGGAGTGGTCATCACAAAGCTCTGATCTCCATCCTGGAGAACATTAGTGGACGGAGCTGAAAAGGTGTGTGGAGCAGGACGGCCAACAAACCTGACTCAGTTCCAGCAGTTCTGTGAGGAGGAACGGGCCATCAAACTGTTGTGAGAAGCTTGTGGAAGGAAACCCAGAATGTTTGACCCAAATCACACAGTTTAAAGGCAACGCTACCAAATACTAAGAACATGGACGTAAACTTCTGACTTTGAAGAAAGTAACGAAAAAAAATCTCTCAAAAATTCTCTCTCTCATTATTCTGTCGTTTAGCAAATAGAAATTATTTTAGTAATCCTAACTGACCTAAAGCAGAAAAACTTTAGTCTGATTTAATGTCAGACGGTGAGAAAAAAAAAAGGTTTTATGTCGTTTTACACAGTGTATGTAAACTTCTGGTTTAGTAAATATTTCCCTCTTCTTCTCTTTTTGCATTCTTCAAATATTGAAATTCTGATGATTATTCCTGTTTGTGCAGGTTCTGTCTCTGATACATGGTCTGAACTTTGACAGTTTTTAAACATGGCTTCTCGTTTGCAGAATTTTTCATTTTTTACTAAATTCCTTTCATGCACGCGGTTTACTTTTGGTTGACTTTGAAGTGATTTTGATGAAATATTAAGATTTGAAGCTAAGATCTGGTTCAGTACGAAGCAGGGAAACAAGGTGAAAGACACAAAGCTGGTGGAGATCGTGCGGCTCGGCGCTGAGATCTGGCTGAGCAGCTGTAGCCTGCAGCCATCCAGCACCAGAGCCTCCGGCACTGCAGGAATGTGACTGTGTACATGTCCACATGAAGAACTTTTCCACTTGGCTGCTGCTGCTGCTGCTGCTGCTCTGCCTTCGGGTACGACGAGTTCCAACTCTGTTGCGGCAGCAGATGACAGAGTGGATCACAGTGTTTTCTAGAAGTTCTGGCTCTCAGCCCATTAAGCCAGAGGTCACGTCGGGGTAAAACACTCGAGGCTTCTGGTGTTTTGATATCTGGTGCGACGTGTGAGAGTCGTGCCGCTAAAGGGTAAAAGCCTGGAGGGAGGTCTAATAATAACCGGCTGCTGTTGGCTTTAGCTGCCACATATTTTAGATATATAAAGATAGAGAGCCAGCGTACATTTAACATGTGAGTAGTGGCTGATGTGAAAGGCGTCTCAGAGATACACCCTCATGTGAGGTCCTGCTAATTGGAAATACTCGTGTATTAATACGCTACAGAAAATAGTCCCTCATGAATCCACTTTTTACTCCGGTTTCAGTAATACTGGCTAAACTAATTACTACTAATTACTTAAACTCCAAAGTAAATATTGTGCTTTCTACAACTTTGCTCTAATTTCACAACTATGCTGACGTGTGTTCAGAAAGTTTACATTTCAGATGTACAGTGAGTTCATCAGCTCACGAGTTACACATTTACTCTAGAAATCACTGTTATCTGTCACATACCGTCAAGGTTCTGTTGAGAACATAAAAGCAGGTAGTCAAAAGCAGTGGTTGTTGAACTTCTAAAGCCGGCTACACACTGTGATTTTCAGCCGTCCAAGATGAAAAATAACAATCATGAGAGAATCTTGGCGATATCTTTGGTCTCGGCTCTAACTGGGTGGTACTACGTTGCACTGAGACAGGTTCAAGGACGGCCGTGGTCATGGTCTTACGACCAAAGACAACAAATTATGACCGTGTCAGAAATTTGGGGTGATGGTCTCACAGTGTGACTTTGACCTACGTCAGCGAATAGAAATGCAGCGTGACATGACGTACTGATCAGAGCTCCCTTTGCAAAACTGGCATCCCAAGTTGGCCTCTCTTTCTGAGCCACGACCTCATCCATGTTCTCCTCCTTCTCCTTTTTCATGGATTTCTATCCAAACACATGAATCTACAAGGACGAGGGCTCTGTTCACGCTTCGCTCGTTTCTTTTTCGTGGATGGGTGGCGCATGCTTATGACGTTTTATTCTTGTGCATTCATGTCGACTCATCGTAGACTGCGATTCAGTTTGCTTTTTCATCACGCAATCTGCACACAGCAAGCTTCATGTCAGCCCAAAGTTTATTAGATTCATGTCGTACAGTGTCGCTAGCTGTGAACTTATAAGATTGTTAAAATCATCCAGTTTGTAGCCGGCCGAAGAGGCCAGAATCGTCACAAAGTGATTATTTCTCCTACAAAATGTGTAACTTCTCTGTAGAGTAATCGAAATATGAGCAAAATTGCAATTGCAGCAGATTTTTAATTTTGTTTTTCAACAGAGGTGATGTAATTTCATTCTAATAAAATTGTTTCAAGTGATGTTAGCTGATGTAATGCTAATTGCTAACGTAGCAGTGGATGAGTCGACCACCTGTACAGGTAGCTAACATTAAGTGGTGGGTTCAGTCGAGGGGTAACACAGTGCTGATATCCGTGTTTATCGAAATAAACTTACTAAAATGAGAATTACAAACAACAGACAGACAAACAAACAGACCGGCTAGCTAGCTAGATCGTCTATCATCCGCTGTTTGCCTCGTTTTCTTGGCTACAGCCGTTAAAGGTGACACGGCACCGCTGACTTCTGACCAAAATAAACCTGTTAAACTTAACGAAACGCCGAATTTCTGTGACATTGTTGGAAACTTTTGGGATAATTTAAGCGCACAAGTCAACACAATTGGCCAGCGTATGCTAACACTAGTCGAGCTGTTCATTTTGTTATTCAGAAAGGTCACATATTGTACTTTTAAAAAGGAATAACACGTCAAAACATGTCGGGTATCGTTTCTGTAAGGCGTAAAACAAAGATACTCCATCTTTGTTTTCTGCACAGCTGTGTGCAGTCATCTGGAGCGCCGTTCATTCCTACGAGAGCCTCCATGATCTCTGATGTGTTTGTGAAACTCCTCGTTCTGATTTCTTAGTTTGGAATTCTAATGTCCGAGGCCTCAAGTGGGTTCAAATATGTGAACTTTTGCGAAAGATTTGAGAGAAACTCCAATGTGTTCCAGGAAGTTGTAAAGTAACTGTCTAGAAGTGTTACCAAGATAGAGACCTGTCCTACAAGAACTTTAGTGTACTTAGAAAGAAGCCGCTGCAGTTAGTTTTACACATGCTAGCTGTGCTTATATGACGTTTAACTAAATATTCATCTTCCTTTCACATTGTTGCCCCATGTTAATATTCCATTAAACTGGACACCAAAGTCTGCGGTGAAGCTTCCGTCCATACGTAAAGAGATGCATTTCCTCGCGCTGAACACCAGCATGCACAGTTCGTGTTTTTTAAGACGCGACATCAAACGAAGCCGCAGCATCAGAATGACCTTGAAGGTTTTCACCATAAGACGCCGACTTTCAGCCACGCAGCAGCTTTTAGTGCTGAAGTTTAATCACAGGCAAGAGACTCATTTTAATGATCTGGAAAATCCTCTTCACCCTCCGTTTGCAAAGACGGATGACTGCAATTAACAGAATAATGTAGAAGAAGTTCTGGGTGCAAAAGAACAAAAAGAAAGACAGTGTTCTCTTCTGGTGCTTTGTGTGTCTGTCGTGTTAAAATGTAAAAATATAAAACAAAACTATAAACTGTCAGAAGTGAGCTCCAAGAAAAGGAGCTTTAACATTCAAATATTGTTTATTAATCAGAAATAATCTGGAATTCATGTCGTATTGTCATAAAAACATCCTAACAGGATGCAGAAACTGGACATATACATTCATTTAAGTACATTTTGCAGGTTAAACTACTTTGACTTGTATTTGTTTCATTATAGTTTTTAATGTTTGACTTATGAAAAGTCTTGGTGTTCTTCTTCACACCACCATCTCAGTTTATCAGGGTGTAAGTGAACAGTGTTACAGCTTTATGTTTGTCATTATATTGTCTAAGGAGATGAACATATAATGCATCAGAGGATAAAATCCTGGATCTGGCCTTGACTTAACCGCTGTGTCAAAGTCATATAAACATAAAGTGGACAATCAGT